AATATATTTACTAAACTCTTGTAGGTTTGGATAATTGCTCTAAGAGCAGGAAACCCTGATGTATCTCTGAAAGTAATATATCTACTAAACTCTTGTAGGTTTGGATAATTGCTCTAAGAGCAGGAAACACTGATGTATCTCTGAAAGCAATATATTTACTAAACTCTTGTAGGTTTGGATAATTGCTCTTAGAGCAGGAAACACTGATGTTTCGCTGAAAGCAATCCATTTATTAAACTCTAACTACTTGGGTCGGGGTCAGGAGTTTATCACCACTTGTATGTCCTATTTACAGGTAGAAGTTTTTTTTGTAAAACATTTTTTTTCAATTTATTCGGGCTAAAAGTTTAAAACATTATTATTTCACAATGACTTAATTGAAAAAAAAAGCTAAAAACGATATCCCCAAAGAGGAAATAGAAAGTATCAAAAATTTAAATTAAAGGGCATAACAGTCTCAAACAGTGATTTGGCTCAAAATTGGCTCCGAGTGTCAGGTTTTGATTAAATGCACTGTCAAATGTCCTTCCTGTATTAGGAAGCAACCAGTAACCTGGATAATCTTACCGGAAGTGAGGATCAGCTGTTACGGATACAAAGAGCTCTTCTCCTTCTCAAATCTCATATGGAAACCTTCAGGTTGGCTGAAGTAAATTAGCTGATTGATTGATGAGAGAATTGATTCATTTGATAAGTTGCTTAAATCATTTTTGATGGACAAAATTTCTGGTTCGCTAGATTTTTAAATTTTTTTCTTTGAACGATTCATTTTTCATTGGTTTTGTTTGAACGGTTAATTTTTCATTGGTTTAATCTAGTATTTTAAAATTTGTTATTGAATAATTGTTATTGATTTGATTGGATCGGTTTTGATATTATGTTTATTTACCTTTTTTTTTACTTCTTTCAGTTATTTTATTTCACTCATGATTATACTTCGATGACAAAGAAGGTTTTAGATAAAAAGTTGATTCGATTGATTGATCGTATGATAGGTTGATTTCTTAAATGATTGATTAAGTGATTGAATGATTGATGTGATTGAATGATTGATTTATCAATTAATTACTTGTTTAATTTCAGGAAGAAATATGCATATAATTTCCGTCGTTTAGCCCTAGAAGGAAAGTCTGTTCCGTCCCATGCCGACCTAGTGAGTGTTCGGCATTCATCTCCACTGAGAATAGTGGTTCAACCAGGTCTTACACATTATGTTTAATGATGTTTACAGGGGTATATATATATATTTTCATAAGTTAACGCTCCTCTTTAATCTTTATCACTTGATCTTGAAATCCAAATTAGACACTTTAAAAATTTGAGGATGAATGCTTGATCCCTTACCAAGGGGTATCAAAGAGAATTGAAAACAAGCTGTAGTTGATTCCCAGATTCAAAATACAACAGTTCTGACCTCTGGTCCCATTTATCCAGGTTAGGTCGCTTTGTATGAATAACACAGTAACTGTTACAGGAGGATCTATTGGAGAGAAAGTGACCTTCGACATGAGTAGTTCAGATCTAGTCTCAGAGCTAAGAGCAGAGATTACTTCTTGGTGGGAGGAAAAGGTATTTAGATTTTAGCCACTCTTGAATATTCATTTATTTAATAATTCAATCATCTAATTCTTCATTCATTATCTCATTCATCTATCTAATCAATCAATCAACAGTTTATGCTTAAAATCATTTATTTAGTTGTTTTCTCAGTAAGTTTAAACATTCATCCTGCATATTCTCATTTATTTATTAAAATGTCGATTGCCGAGGTTTTTGTCACTTTGTAGATCTGCACACGATCATAGACGTAATTTCTAAGATGCGTGAGGATTGGCAGACCTAAGCCTTAAGTTTCCAGAAGAAATTCAGTGTTCTATTCATTTTTTGAGTTGTATAATATAATTAATATTTACAAATTGATTTATCTGTTTTAGGTTGGGTCTAGCCTGGAGGTTGGTAGTATGCTTGGAAGCCTACTAGGAGGGTCATCTGTTATAGGAGGAAAAGGAAAAGCTAAGCTTCATCTCAGACTTATATCACAGGTAGCTTAAGATGGGAATTTGCACCATGAAAATTTTTTCCTGAGCTGAAATTTTAAAAGCTTAAACCAAAGTAAAACCCGGTCTTAGCGTCTAC